TCTTCTGGGACACGTGACAGGTCCCAGAAGACTACGGGGCCATTCACAAAGCGCAGCGCTTCTCGCGCATGTGCAGTAGGCAAGCTGTCACAGTCGGGTGCCCACACTGAAGATGCCGGCGCCGGGGAGAGAAGATAGTCGGTGAAACCAACCATGGTGAGGACACCGCTGGACCGAGGGACAGGTAAGTGGCTGTATTTTAAAAGTCAGCAGCTACAGTTTTTGTAGCTGCTGACTTTTAATTTTTTTTTTTTTCAGGTGGAACTCCGCTTTAACAAACAGAGATAACTACATTTATGCCTCCCCCCAGTACCTCCTTGTGGTCAGCACACTCCAGCTCCACTTGTGCAGGAGCAATGCTACCACCGGAGGGGAGGAGAGGAGCCGAAAAGACTGGGCGAGAAAACCGGGAGCATTGGTACTGCCCCTGCAGGAGATAATGGTGACCACCAGGGGTCGAGCGCATTGTTTTCTTACATATCCACTAATTGTTTTTGGAGCTATCGTGTGCCAGCTCCTTAACCATCAGCTATTCACTGGTTATTAGGGACGCTGGCGGGTGCCTGCTTCTTAACAATCAACATATTTTTTGCCATGTGACCCCAAAAACACACCTAAAATGCACCCTGTGAGCATTTTCTGAGCATTTTTAGTGCGTTTCGCATGACTTAAATGGAAGGTGCATCTTTGGTGTTCTTTTGAAAAGTACACCAAAGATGCAGCATGCAGGACTTTTCAAACCGCAGCACAAATGCAGAGCAGTGATGTGAAAAGTCACAGAGGAGCTAAAGGGGAATTATTTTGTGCTTTGGTTGCACTAGAAAAGCACTTTCCAGCACGAAAAAAATGCATTAGTGCGAAAGAGGTCTAAGCATTCCCATTGCTTGTCAGAGAACCAAGGAGATGGCTAAGGTCTGATTCCCTTGCAGCAGATGTGACTCAAGCCTGCTTGAGGAGTCACTTAGATTTGGATCAGGCTTAGTTCTTGTGCAGCAACCATGACTCAAATTTAGGCCTACATGGGGGGGGGGGGGGGGGGGGGTGACTGGTCATGAACCAGGGACCAAATGCAGATATCCCCTTGAGATACCATAGTATGTATTGATTTTTTCTTTTGTCTACGCCCCAGAGTCAGCAGGATATAAAAATGCCCCAGGTCAGCAGAAGGCAAAAACACCCCGGGGTCGGCAGGAGGCAAAAACATCCTGATGTCAATAGGAGGGAACAACGCCCCTGGGTCAGCAGGAGGCAAAACGCCCCGGGGTCAGCAGGAGGCAAAAACGTCCTGATGTCAGCAGGAGGCAACAACGCCCCGGGGTCAGCAGGAGGCAAAAACGTCCTGAAGGCAATAGGAGGCAACAATGTCCCTGGGTCAGCAGGAGGCAAAACGCCCTACGTCAGCAGGAGGCAAAATGTTCTAAAGTCAATAAGTGGCAACAACGCCCCTGGGTCAGCAGGAGGCAACAACACCCCGGGGTCAGCAGGAGGCAAAAACGTCCTGAAGACAATAGGAGGCAACAACACCCCCCTGGGGTCAGCAGGAGGTAAAAAACGCCCCGGGGTCAGCAGGAGGCAAAAACGTCCCGGGGTCAGCAGGAGGCAAAAACGTCCCGGGGTAAGAAGGAGGCAAAAAGCCCTGCGTCAGAAGGAGGCAAAATGTTCTGAAGTCAATAAGTGGCAACAATGCCCTGGGGTCAGCAGGAGGCAAAAACACCCTGGGGTCAGCAGGAGGCAAAACGCCCCGGGGTAAGCAGGAGGCAAAACGCCCCGGGGTAAGCAGGAGGCAAAAACGTCCTGAAGTCAATAGGAGGCAACAATGCCCCGGGTGAGCAGAAGGCAAAAATGTCCCAGGGTCAACAGGAGGCAAAAACGTCCTGATGTCAAAAGGAGGCAACAACGCTCCTAGGTCATCAGGAGGCAACAACGCTCCTAGGTCATCAGGAGGCAACCATACCCCGGGGTCATCAGGAGGCAACCATACCCCGGGGTCAGCAGGAGGCAAAAACAGATTTCCAGCAAACGCTTCCATAATAACAAGAAATCTGGATTTACTGCAGTATGTACAGTATAAATGTTGCATTTTATGCGATTTACGTATCCTTGTTTTATACATTTACCAGATATATATATATAAGGGGTTTGTAGGAGCATGCAGAGGGTAAATCCAGAATCTACAGGGTTAACATGTGGCCACACCCCTCCTGAGTCTCCTTTGTTATATATACTGGATGTAAAGTTTTAGGATTCAAACACAGATGTAACTTGGCTTTTATTATTATTATTGTGTTTTCTTTTATTTATAAATACAAAGTATCTTTTCATTCCACAGCCCCGGACTCTGCATGGAGCATAACAATGGATCATGTGGTTGGTGAATGAATTAGAGGCAGCTTTGTGTGTTCTCTGGTGAACTTTGACCCTTGGAGGTGGCAGTTTTCTGGCTGGGGGCCCAGAGTGGCTCCTGATCTACAAAAAAACACCCAGCGCTGACCTCCTAGAGAGGAGACCCCGGAACCAGATCCCAGAGCAGGGGGAGGGGAGAGGAGGACTATCAGCGGCTGCACAAGGAGTAGAGAGGAGAGTTTCCAGGGAAGAAACCTTCAGATCCTTTCTTTATTCCTCCATCCAGAAAACCCGCCATGGACGCCAAGTAAGAGAAAACCATGGAATATATATAGATGGCGCTGAGCTGGACGCGCTCCTTACAGTGTAACTAAAGCCAAAACCATAAATATCTCTGCAAACAAAAACCGGCTTGCTAACAGAATGTCATGTGTGGTTCTCACTTGGATCACAATGTAGATTGCAGCGCTGGGAGTGAGACTGCAGCTTCCAACCACAATATTCACCTTCAGGCTGGGTTCACACTTGTGCGGTGTGGGACGTGGCGTGTGAATCGCACTGCATTCCTGTGCACATGCGATGTGTGTGCGGTGTGTGACGTGGCGTGTGAATCGCACTGCATTCCTGTGCACATGCGCGGTGTGTGACGTGGCGTGTGAATCGCACTGCATTCCTGTGCACATGCGGTGTGTGACGTGGCGTGTGAATCGCACTGCATTCCTGTGCACATGCACTGTGTGCGCTGCAATTTGAACTGTACAGTTTGCATGGCTCAGATCGCACCGACGGCCAAAATGCAGGACCCTTTTTCCCCGCACCTGAATCGCATTGGACGGGTGTTCACACATTCTGGTAATCGTATTGCACAGGTGTTCCCACATTCTGGTAATCGCACTGCCTTTTGCAATCTGTTTCGGGGTGTTGTTAATTGAACATTGACACCCGCGACAAATCGCGCATGGACGCTGTGTGACTGCAATGTGGTGTGGGAAACGCACAGGATTCGCGGCGTTTCCCATATCGCATCAGTGTGAACCAGGACGGGGGGGGGGGGGCGGGGGTTGATTTTTTTTTTTTTTTTTTTTTTTTTTTAATGCGACTTCTAGCTATGTGATATTGCAGCTCCACCACCGCCAGGAGTTCAAGGCGACAAGTCACCAATAGGGATGAGTTCGGGAACGTCTGAAAGCTGTCAAAGCAGACAGCCAATCATAGGTGGTGGAGACATTGTCCACTCCGTAGCAGATCATATGCAAGGCTGCCTATGATTGGCTGTTGGCTTTGAATGCTTCATGGTCGCATGGGTTAGACAGGTTCAGACTAAGGTCCAAACATGCTTGAGGTCATCACTATCCAGCAGTAGTGCTGGGCTTCGTGTTCGACTCGAACATTGGCTGTTCATGTGTTCAGCGCCGTGCCCTGCAATGCACTGCGCCATGACAGTGCATTGCGATTGGCCAAAGCACAGTGCGTGATGATGTCACAAGGGGGCGGGATCACAGTATTTAAGAACTGTCAGACAGCCGGAGCCAGCAGCGATCGCCAATGAATACTGACAGGGGAGAGGTCTGTATGTAAACAACACAGGTCTCTCCCCTGTCAGCACCAGCGTGCTGCTTTGTATGGCTCTGCATAGCACAGCCATACAAAGCAGCACGCTTACATAGTAAAACACACACAGCACACATTAGTACAGTGTCAGTGATTCCCCGCCAGCAACTGCCGATCGCAGAGTATGACTGACGGGGGAGAGGTCTGTACGTAAACAACACAGATCTCTCCCCTGTCATCTCCTGCACACTACTTTGTATGGCTGTGCATAGCACAGCCATACAAAGCAGTGTGCTTACATAGTAAATCACACACAGCACACAGTTAACCCTTTGATCACCCCGGATGTTCCTTCCAGTGTCATTAGTACAGTGTCGTTGCTTTTTATTAGCATTGATCACTGTATTGGTGTCACTGGGGATGTCCGTGTCAGTTAGTGTCAGATTGCCTGCCGCAGTCCCACTATAAGCTGCTGATCGTCGCAATTACTAGTACAAAAAAAAAATCCCAGTATATATACCGCCATTTGTAAATGCTATAACTTTTTCACTTTCAAACCAATTAATTTACACGTATCGGGATTTTTATAGCAAAGACACGTCGCTAAATACATTTTGCCCGAAATTTGATTTTTTTACATTTTTTTTACTGGACATGTTTTGTAGCAAAAGGTAAAAAAAAATAGTTTTTTTCTCAAAATTGTGGGTCTTTTTTTTGTTTATAGTGCAAAAAATTAAAAACGCACAGGGGATCAAATACCACTGAAAGCTCCATTTGTGGGGAAAAAGGATGTAAATTTCATTTGGGTGCCGCATTGCATGACCGCGCAATTGTCAGTTAAAGTAACGCAGCGCCGTATCGCAAAAAATGGTCTGGTCAGGAAGGAGGGGGGATCCTCTGGAGGGCAAGGGGTTAAAAAACTCATTAGCATTTTGATTGGGGGGGGCAGGAAAGGCGTAATCTAAGCAGACTAAACTTCAGCTTTAATTCTTTCCCTCTAAACTAGAACACAGACCTCTGTGTGGCTTTTATAGCAGATTTCCTTTGAAAGCCCACATTTTTGGTTCACCCCTCCAAATTCTAAACATTCTATGCGTTGTGTGTTTCAGCGTGCCATCCTGCGACTCGTACGCGGCGGCCATGCTGCTGAGTGCTGCAGGGGACGCTCTGGGCTACAGGAACCAGCTGTGGGAATACTGCAAATCCGGAGCCCAAATCCACAGCCAGCTGAAAGATCTGGGGGGGCTGGTGAAAATAACCGCGTCTCTACCGGACTGGCCGGTCAGCGATGACACCGTGCTCCACTTGGCGACCGCCGAGAGTCTGGCTACAGGTGAGCGAAGGATTGTATTATTCATTTACACGACACCAACATCTGATAGTAACATCGGCTACAATTCCATCCCAGATACTGGAAATACTTACATTCTGTGCAGGAGCTTCCTGTAATAAAGACCGCTCACTGCTGCTCTCTCTCTGTGGACAGTGTGACTGGTCTTGTCTCCGCCCCCTCCTGTAGTTTTCTGTAGGCAGCCTGTAGTGGGTGGAGCCTGCTGGGCCCCTCCTACAGCTCTGCTCTTTTTCCTTGTGCAGGATGACTGGTCTTGTCTCCGCCCCCTCCTGTAGTTTTCTGCAGGCAGCCTTTGGTGGGTGGAGCCTGCTGGGCTCCTCCTACAGCTCTGCTCTTTTTTTTCCTTATGCAGGGTGACTGGTCTTGTCTCCGCCCCCTCCTGTAGTTTTCTGCAGGCATCCTGTAGTGGGTGGAGCCTGCTGGGCCCCTCCTACAGCTCTGCTCTTTTTTCCTTGTGCAGGGTGACTGGTCTTGTCTCCGCCCCCTCCTGTAGTTTTCTGCAGGCAGCCTGTAGTGGGTGGAGCCTGCTGGGCCCCTCCTACAGCTCTGCTGTTTCTCCTTGCGCATGATTTGGTTGTTTCTTGGCTGGACGTTCGATGGCATGCTGGGAGTAGGAATTGTTGGGCTGCAGGGTGAAGAGAACGAATTCATCACTAGGGGTCCAGGGGCGGACTGACCACTTGGAAACTCAGGCACTGCCCGAGGGCCCGGGGTCAGTAGGGGGCCCCATGAGATGCCCCTGGTACCTTTTTCATAGGCATTTTTGAGTTTGGGCAAGGACACAGGGGCCCCATGATCCCCTATTGCCCGGGGGCCCCATGAGTTGTCAGTCCACCCCTGCTAGAGACTGTATCCATGTATGATGCCAAACTTCTCAGTCTCTTTTTCTCAAAATGCTTCTTGCAGGGAAGCTGGGAGAAGATTTATATCATGAGCTCGCTACGAGATACGTGTCTGCCATGTCCGATATGGAGGGGAGGAAGCCTGGACCCACCAGTATTCTAGGTAAGTTGGTGTCACCTCCTGGCCGAGCCTCCATCCCTCATAAAACCTCCATCTGGTCCTGCCGTTTAATGCCTTACGCAGGCCATATGCGGGTCGAATTCCAAACAAATTTTCTTTAGAAAATCGGAAATATTGTGCGTTTTGTAACCCGATGGCGCCACCATTGATTTTGAAATTTGAACGACCAAGCCTTCAATTTCCTCCCCATGTTGCTACAGAAAAGAATTTTCGTGGCCAAGAGTTTTCTTTTCTCTCCAGGTCAGGGCATTTCTTTTTCGCTTTTATTTCCTGCATTCTTGAATTCCTAAAGAATTTTCTTTTGAAAATCTTTTCTAAGAATTTTTGTTTGAATTTCGCACCATTAGTGGGTCACAGAAACGGACGATTTTCATGTGACCATCAAATTTGAGTGGTCGGGCATGTTGGAAATTTTTTGAAAAATGAACAAATTTCGAATCGATGATGGAAGAATCGTGTGAGGAGATATAAACGAAAAATAAATGAGCATGAGAAATGACCCAGGAACTCAGCACAGGGATGGTGGGAACCCCTCATAATGGGCACAGCGGGTGTACAGACCCGGGAACTCAGCACAGGGATAATGGGAACTCCTCATAATGGGCACAGTGGATATACAGACTCGGGAACTCAGCACAGGGATAATGGGAACCCCTCATAATGGGCACCGCGGGTGTACAGACCCGGGAACTCAGCACAGGGATGGTGGGAACCCCTCATAATGGGCACCGTGGGTGTGGGACAGACCCGGGAACTCAACACAGGGATGGTGGGAACCCCTCATAATGGGTACAGCGGGGTGTACAGATCCAGGAACTCAGCACAGGGATGGTGGGAACCCCATATAATGGGCACAGCGGGTGTACAGACTTGGGAACTCGGCACAGGGATGGTGGGAACCCCTCATAATGGGCACCGTGGGTGTACAGACCCGGGAACTCAACACAGGGATGGTGGGAACCCCTCATAATGGGCACAGCGGGTGTACAGACAGACCCGGGAACTCAGCACAGGGATGGTGGGAACCCCATATAATGGGCACAGCGGGTGTACAGACTTGGGAACTCGGCACAGGGATGGTGGGAACCCCTCATAATGTGCACAGTGGGTGTAGAGACCCAGGAACTCAGCACAGGGATGGTGGGAACCCCTCATAATGGGCACAGCGGGTGTACAGACCCGGGAACTCAGCACGGGGATGGTGGGAAGCCCTCATAATGGGCACAGCGGGTGTACAGACCCAGGAACTCAGCACAGGGATGGTGGGAACCCCTCATAATGGGCACGGCGGGTGTGCAGACCCGGGAACTCAGCACTGAGGTCTCCCTGAGGGTTAGAAGAGACTTTAAGTTGGTTAACTCTCCAGCAACTATGAAACAATAAGAAAATCGTTTTGGGTGGAGTGATCCTTTACACTTCTATGTATTGTTCAGGAACCTCTCAGTTGCGTCCCGGGGAACCTGGAGGATTCCGCATTCCATTTAACCCTTCGGCGACCGGCTGTGGAGCAGCGATGAGATCCATGTGTATAGGGCTCAGGTCCGTATTATTGATCCTGCATCACATGATGTAAATGGTCACAAACTGTTACTAACAAATGTCCTGATGAGCCTGTGTACCTCCGAGCACCGGTGGGGGTCATGGGTAATATCTGCAAGACAAGCAGCTTTGAAATTCATACAACGTTTTACCTGCCAAAGGATTTGCAATTCTGTGAAGTCAGTTTTGTGATTCATTCACCCCTGCCAGACAGCGCAGTCAGTGCCTAGTCAGGAACACACCTGCTGCCTGCTAATTGGACTCTGAGGGAACGTGGCTACTCAGAGAGATCATCACTTGAAAAAGAGGAAAGGTGTCTACTCATAGAGCGCATCTCTAGAAGAAGAGGGAAGGTGGCTACTCGTAGAGATCATCTCTAGAAGAAGAGGGAAGGTGTCTACTCATAGAGCGCATCTCTAGAAGAAGAGGGAAGGTGGCTACTTGTAGAGATCATCTCTAGAAGAAGAGGGAAGGTGGCTACTCGGAGAGTATAGATAAAAGAGGGAAGGGGACTACTCATTGAGAGCATCTCTAGAAGAAGAGTGAAGGTGGCTACCCAGAGGGAGCGTCTCTAGAAGAAGAGGAAAGGTGGCTACCCAGAGGGAGCGTCTCTAGAAGAAGAGGGAAGGTGGCTACCCAGAGGGAGCATCTCTAGAAGAAGAGGGAAAGTGGCTACCCAGAGGGAGTGTCTCTAGAAAAAGAGGGAAGTTGGCTACTCATAGAGAGCACCTCTAGAAGAAGGAAGGTGGCTACAATGCTTCCTTTGGATAGACACCTTCCCTCTTCTTCTAGAGATGCTCTCTATGGGTAGCCATTTGTCCTCTTCTTCTAGAGATGCTCCATCAGAGTAGCCACCTTCCCTCTTCTTCTAGAGATGCTCTCTATGGGTAGCCATTTGTCCTCTTCTTCTAGAGATGCCCCCTCAGAGTAGCCACCTTCCCTCTTCCTCTACACATGGTTCCTCTGAGTAGTTACCTTCCTTCTTCCAGAGATGCTTCTTAAGGGTGGACATCTTAAGCAACTTGAATTTCTTAGGCCTCAGCACAGGTCAGCTTAGATTCCATGCATTCCGTAGCTTGGCACAGGCTCTTGGCTGGGGCCAGGCCCAAGAAGAGGAGTCCTTCAACCTGGTATCCTCACCATGTAAGGACAGAACCCCAACAGGCCAGACAAGACTTTTTATAGAAGGTTGGTGCAAATATTTATCCTGTCCCCTCAGCTCACATCATTGGTTGTCAAGCAGGTGTAGGAGGGGTGGTTTTGCAGACTTATCTTAGAGAGGAATGGTGGGAAATATTGGGCTTTAGATTGTTTAGCTTTGCTTCAAACAGATGAAATCTGATTTGCTATATGTATGAGAAGACACTTCCCACTGGTGTTTCCACATGTACTTTGCGGATTCCAAATGTTTTGCCTTTCTGTAGACCCCTGAGTGAGGTGTATAGCAGGAGCGGACTGACAACTCATGGGGCCTCCGGGCAATAGGGGATCATGAGGCCCCTGTGTCCTCACCCACACCCAAAAAAGCCAATGAAAAAGCCAATGAAAGGTACCAGGGGCATCTCATGGGGCCCCCCACTGACCCTGGGCCCTCGGGCAGTGCCTGAGTGCTCGAATGGTCAGTCCGCCCCTGGTGTATAGTATAAACAAGCTTTAATAATCCTTTAGCAACATCACAAGACCGCCAACGCATTTCAGGGGACACAGAATTCACCTTCATCAGGGCTAAAAGCTGAATTCCAAATCTGGATATTTTGGCATAGGTACACGGGTACACCTTGGACCAACGTAACTATACTTACCTGAACAGTCATTGTGGATGCAAAGACTCGCTGTAGTAGCCACCATTACTACAGTGATCCTTGCTGTCTTCCGGATCCTGCTGCCCTGCTGCATAGTGAGCACGTGGGGTCACTCGCTGAGATAAATCTGAATGCAGGATAAGAAGACTTTGTTGTTAAAGATTCCAAGTCTGTGTAAGCTTTCCAAACCTTTAAGCCCCGATGAAGGGGGATGTTGTGTCCACCGAGACTTGTTGTGTCTTTGTGATGCGGCTAAAGAGCTATTAAAGCATTGTTTTGAACTCTGCCTGTGGCTTGGCACCTCTGTTGTATGTTTGCAATGCCTTCCTTGGTACCCGCTGCAATGGATCCTTGTTTTATGTGAGTAGTATATTCCTGTTACACAAACCGTATATAATAAGACCATTTTATTTGGTGTATATTCCCTTCCCAGATTTCCCCGACCGTCGGAGCTGTCCCTCCTGGTCGCCGTCAGCGTGGAGAGCGGGAAGATGACCCACAACCACCCCACAGGTCTTATGGATATATATATATCTATATAAAAAAGATGAAATGTATGATAAAAAAAACAAAACAAAACCCTGGACAGGACATTGGTATTTGTCAGTGGCCACCCAGTTCACCTGCCCCACGTATAAATACTTTGCTCTTTTCATATATTCAGCTTCTTCTCTCTCTGTTCTCTTGCAGGGTACCTTGGATCTCTTGCATCGGCCCTCTTCTTGGCTCTGGCGGTACAGAGAGTCCCCCTGGAATTATGGGGGGTGCGTTTGTTAGAGGCTCTTCCTGTGGCTCTAGAGTATATCCGCTCCACAGGGAGTGACGTGGAGCGCCATGTGGAAGCGTGGGATTACTTCCGAGAAAGCTGGGAGAGGTGAGTGAGTGTGGATGATGGGTGGTCAGCTGGGAGAGGTGAGGGAGTGTGGATGATGGTGGTCAGCTGGGAGAGGTGAGGGAGTGTGGATGATGGTGGTCAGCTGGGAGAGGTGAGTGAGTGCGGGTGATGGTGGTCGGCTGGGAGAGGTGAGGGAGTGCGGATGATATATATGCATGAGACACTTCCCACCGGTGTTTCTACATGTACTTTGCAGATTCCAAATGTTTTGCCTTTCTGTAGACCCCTGAGGGAGGTGTATAGCAGGAGCGGACTGACAACTCATGGGGCCTCCGGGCAATAGGGGATCATGAGGCCCCTGTGTCATGGGATCATGAGTGCGGGTGATGGTGGTCAATTGGGAGAGGTGAGGGAGTGCGGATGATGGTGGTCAATTGGGAGAGGTGAGGGAGTGTGGATGATGGTGGTTGGCTGGGAGAGGTGAGGGAATGCGGATGATAGTGGTTGGCTGGGAGAGGTGAGGGAATGCGGGTGATGGTGGTCAGCTGGGAGAGGTGATGGAATGCGGATGATGGTGGTTAGTTGGGAGAGGTGAGTGAGTGTGGATGATGGTGGTCGGCTGTGAGAGGTGAGGGAGTGCGGGTTATGGTGGTCGGCTGGGAGAGGTGAGGGAGTGCCGGTGATGGTGGTCGGCTGGGAGAGGTGAGGGAGTGCGGGTGATTGTGGTCGGCTGGGAGAGGTGAGGGAGTGCGGGTGATGGTGGTCGGCTGGGAGAGGTGAGGGAGTGCGGGTGATGGTGGTCGGCTGGGAGAGGTGAGGGAGTGCGGGTTATGGTGGTCGGCTGGGAGAGGTGAGGGAGTGCGGTTGATGGTGGTCGGCTGGGAGAGGTGAGGGAGTGTGGGTGATGGTGGTCGGCTGGGAGAGGTGTGGGAGTGCGGGTGATGGTGGTCGGCTGGGAGAGGTGAAGGAGTGCGGGTGATGGTGGTCGGCTGGGAGAGGTGAGGGAGTGCGGGTGATGGTGGTCGGCTAGGAGAGGTGAGGGAGTGCGGGTGATGGTGGTCGGCTGAGGGAGTGCAGGTGATGGTGGTCGGCTGGGAGAGGTGAGGGAGTGCGGGTGATGGTGGTCGGCTGGGAGAGGTGAGGGAGTGCGGGTGATGGTGGTCGGCTGGGAGAGGTGAGGGAGTGCGGGGTGATGGTGGTCGGCTGGGAGAGGTGAGGGAGTGCGGGTGATGGTGGTCGGCTGGGAGAGGTGAGGGAGTGCGGGTGATGGTGGTCGGCTGGGAGAGGTGAGGGAGTGCGGGTGATGGTGGTCGGCTGGGAGAGGTGAGGGAGGCGGGTGATGGTGGTCGGCTGGGAGAGGTGAGGGAGGCGGGTGATGGTGGTCGGCTGGGAGAGGTGAGGGGAGGCGGATGATGGTGGTCGGCTGGGAGAAGTGAGGGAGTGTGGGTAATGGTGGTCGGCTGCGAGAAGTGAGGGAGTGCGGATGATGGTGGTCAATTGGGAGAGGTGAGGGAGTGTGGGATGATGGTGGTTGGCTGGGAGAGGTGAGGGAATGCGGATGATAGTGGTTGGCTGGGAGAGGTGAGGGAGTGCGGGTGATGGTGGTCAGCTGGGAGAGGTGATGGAATGCGGATGATGGTGGTTAGTTGGGAGAGGTGAGTGAGTGTGGATGATGGTGGTCGGCTGTGAGATGTGAGGGAGTGCGGGTTATGGTGGTCGGCTGGGAGAGGTGAGGGAGTGGTGCGGGTGGTCGGCTGGGAGAGGTGAGGGAGTGCGGGGGTTATGGTGGTCGGCTGGGAGAGGTGAGGGAGTGCGGGTGGTCGGCTGGGAGAGGTGAGGGAGTGCGGGTTATGGTGGTCGGCTGGGAGAGGTGAGGGAGTGCGGGTTTATGGTGGTCGGCTGGGAGAGGTGAGGGAGTGCGGGTGATGGTGGTCGGCTGGGAGAGGTGAGGGAGTGCGGGTGATGGTGGTCGGCTGGGGAGAGGTGAGGGAGTGCGGGTGATGGTGGTCGGCTGGGAGAGGTGAGGGAGTGCGGGTGATGGTGGTTGGCTGGGAGAGGTGAGGGAGTGCGGGTGATGGTGGTCGGCTGGGAGAGGTGAGGGAGTGCGGGTGATGGTGGTCGGCTGGGAGAGGTGAGGGAGTGCGGGTGATGGTGGTCGGCTGGGAGAGGTGAGGGGGTGATGTGGTCGGGTGATGGGGTGGTCGGCTGGGAGAGGTGAGGGAGTGCGGGTGATGGTGGTCGCCTGGGAGAGGTGAGGGAGTGCGGGTGATGGTGGTCGGCTGGGAGAGGTGAGGGAGTGCGGGTGATGGTGGTCGGCTGAGAGAAGTCAGAGAATGTGGATGATGGTGGTCAGCTGGGATGATGCTGATGGTGGTGAGGAGCAGAAGGTGGACCTTATCTAAATCCCCCTCCACAGAGCTCACCGCAACAGAGCTGAAGCTGTCAATCGGCTGGAGGTCCCCTCCCCTGTCACAATATTTCTCCTGGTGTCAGGAAAATCTCATCAGATCATGCTGATAGCAGAGGAAGGAGGCAGCAGACAGAAACGGCTCTGGATTGAGACAAGTACACACTATAGGGGGGCATTGCTTTGTTCATATTTCATGTGTGTGTTTACAACTAGAGATGAGCGAATCGAACCAGGCGAAGTGGAATTCGATTCGAATTTCAGGAAAAATTCGATTCGCGTCGAATCCGAATATTAGCTTACTTCGGGTGTGCGCGAATCGGATTTTTCCCCCGATCAGCCGGCAAAAAAGTGTCCCCATGCAGAGAGCTCCGCTATTTCTGACAGTTCTCTGACAGTTCCTTCACATGTACACGGTTGAAACATTGTATCTATTTGTTTCCATTTAGGATACAGATGTTTTTATTCGGAAATAAATAGATACAATGTTTCAACCGCTGTAAATGTGAAAGTCAGAGAACTGTCAGAAATAGAGGAGCTCTGCAGATACACTTTTTGCCGGTTTGGAATTATTCTTATTTTCATCCTACTTCTTCTTCTTCTTCATCTCATCCTCAGAAGAAGAAGAAGAGGATGAGGATGAAGAAGAAGAAAGTAATGGATGAAAATAAGAAGAATTCCAAGCCGGCAAAAAGTGTATCTGCAGAGCTCCTCTAAGTGTATCTGCAGAATAGAGGAGCTCTGCAGATACACTTTTTGCCGGCTTGGAATTTCTTCTTATTTTCATCCTACTTCTTCTTCTTCTTCATCCTTTTCGTCCGAGTAGAAGATAGAGGCATGAGGATGAAGAAGGAAGAAGAAGAAGAAGAAGTAGGATGAAAATGACAAGAAGTATTCCAAGCCAAAAAGTGTATCTGCAGAGCTCCTCTAAAGTGTATCTGCTGATTTGAGGGCTCTGCAGATACAAAAAGTGTATCTGCAGAGCTCCTATTCTGCAGATACACTTAGAGGAGCTCTGCAGATTCACTTTTTGCCGGCTTGGAATTCTTCTTATTTTCATCCTACTTCTTCTTCTTCTTCTTCTTTCCTCTTCATCCTCATCCTCATCTTTTTTCTTCTTCTGAGGATGAAGGATGAAGAAGAAGAAGAAGAAGTAGGATGAAAATAAGAAGAATTCCAAGCCGGCAAAAAGTGTATCTGCAGAGCTCCGCTAAGTGTATCTGCAGAGCTCCGCTATTTCTGACAGTTCTGTGACATTCCCTCCATACAGCGGTTGAAACATTGTATCTATTTCCTTCTCCTTCTTCTCATCCTTCTCCTTCTCCTTCTTCTCATCCTTCTCCTTCTTCTTCTCATCCTTCTCCTTCTTCTTCTCATCCTTCTCCTTCTTCTTCTCATCCTTCTCCTTCTTCTTCTCATCCTTCTCCTTCTTCTCATCCTTCTCCTTCTTCTCATCCTTCTCCTTCTTCTCATCCTTCTCCTTCTTCTCATCCTTCTCCTTCTTCTCATCCTTCTCCTTCTTCTCATCCTTCTCCTTCTTCTCATCCTTCTCCTTCTTCTCATCCTTCTCCTTCTCCTTCTTCTCATCCTTCTCCTTCTTCTCATCCTTCTCCTTCTCCTTCTTCTCATCCTTCTCCTTCTCCTTCTTCTCATCCTTCTCCTTCTCCTTCCTCATCTCCAAGGGCATTTAAATTAAAGGTACAGTGTTCTGCACTAATTTAAAGGCTCTCTGAAGCCTAGAAACCCTTTTAATAAGTTAAATTCGTAGCGAATTAATTTGCATCGAATCGAATTTCTTCCTCAAATTCGGCGAATCAGCCGAATCGAATTTTTGAATAATTCGCTCATCTCTAGTTACAACCATAAACTTGGGCTTAAGGGGCAATGCTAAGTTTATTATTTATTTATTTCAGGTACTTATATAGAGCAGTCAATTTACGCAGCGCTTTACATATATATTGTACATTCACATCAGTCCCCGCCCCCGAGGAGCGTACAATGTGAGGTCCCTAACCCTCAATATATTTCAAATATATGTCAATATATTTTGGAAGAAAATTTTTAAAATATATTTAAATTCTATTTTTCTTCCATATGGGTAACACTGATGTGAAGAGTTCTGTGCATTGTAAAGAGTTGTGGAATGATGGCAGACCTGTATAAATTACATGAAGTCACCAGTCCCACCCCTGCGATTTAAAATCGCACAATTTGTGTGCAATTTCTGAAGACTTGATTGTGACTTGTGAAGATTTTCAACAATTTCTTGCCATTTGCATTGCGATCTCCATTATATTCTGTGCATGTGAAATCGCAACTAAACTGCAGAAAAAGTCGTGCGAGAACTACTTTAGAAATCGCACGGCAGCAAATCGCGCATGATGACTTTCACATTCATTAGATGCGATTTTCAATTTGCAAATCTCACTGGTATAACGCAAAGATGGGCAATTGATGCAATTTCTATAACTGATGATGTCACAGCATTGCGGTTCACACTTGTGTTTCCTCATTAGGTACCTCTCAGAGAGGGGTCTATCTCAGGGTACCGGACCGGCTGTGTTCCCACCTCTGTACGGTCCTGAAGAGAGGGACAAGGAGTACGCTCGCTGGTGTCTGGAGGACTGGGCAGGGAGGAGTGGCCATGATGCTCCGATGATCGCATACGACGCCCTCTTGGGGGCAGGGAACTCATGGGAGGAGCTATGTAGTCGCTCCATGTTCCATGGAGGTAAGCCCATCCAATCCCATTATCAGAGATACATAAGCAGGCTCGGCTTCCTACCTATGATCATTATTGGTACATTTTGCCTTCTTAAGACTTTGGTTTTTGGTGTGGGAGTTTCAGTGGTAGAAATGTTGACACCTTTTTTTTTTTTTTTTTTTCTTTTGGCAAAAATAACTCCTTCCTCTTCTTGCCTGTGTTATACATGTGCTCACCCACACAGAATCTAATAATCACTTACTACTATTTATTTATTTCAGGTACTTATATAGCGCCATCAATTTATGCAGCGCTTTACATATATATTGTACATTCACATCAGTCCCCGCCCCCGAGGAGCGTACAATCTAAGGTCCCTAACTCACATTCATACATACACATACTAGGGAAAATTTAGACAGGATCCAATTCACCTACCAGTATGTCTTTGGAGTGGGGGAGGAAACCAGAGTACCTGGAGGAAACCCACACAGGCACAGGGAGAACATCCAGGCAGGTGGTGCCGTGGCTGGGATTCGAACCAACGACACAGTACTGCCAGGGGGGAGTGCTAAACATTTAGCCGCTGTGCTGCCCCAAACTCAACATAACCCTTAAACTTAAAGCAAAACTCCACAAGATAAAAATGAAAAGCCCAATAGAAGATAAAAGGTATCATCAGCTCCATGGTTCCCCTGCAATACTTTTTGTACTGCTAGATGTCCTCAGTCTGAAGCCTAGCATCATTCAACCCACTTCCTCTGAGCCCAGGTCATCCTGCACCTGCCCCCAAGCCATGACTGGATAGTGAAAGGAGCAAGCATGCAGTGTTGAGCTCATCTCTCTCTCACTGTGCTCTTCTCCTATTAGCATGTTTCTTGTGCTGCTTCTTCAGCCCTGCTGTACAGGCACCTGCAGCCAATCACAGTGGTCACATGATCGCCGATCCTTCCCACCCCCAGCACTCAGACCTTTTTTTTTTAAAGGGACGGGAAGGCATTACTAGTTTATCAGAAAAGAGAGGAATGGGGATTTCCTGATCAATAGCCAACATCCTCAAAATTGCAAGATAGATATAAAGGGAGAGACCCCCTATGGGACTTGGGATTCGGAAGGCATAGATTTATACCGAAAATTATTATAAAAAGTACAAGCTTTTTATTGTGTCAAAAAAGGATTTTAACATCTAGACAAACCATACAATACATCATCCAAAGTCATAATACAGCATCCCCATCAGAGTATTGATTACTGATGATACCCAGTATGACTTTGCTTGACTGGACATGTAAAATTGTTGTGACATCACCATCCATACATATAAATATAGTTTTTATATGATCAACGCGTTTCGGAGTGACTTCACTTCTTCAGGGAAAAAGAAGAGCTCTGCATATGGGCAGGGGCGGACTGACCATTTAGACATTCGGGCACTGACCGAGGACCCAGGGTCAGTAGGGGGCCCCATGAGATTCCTCTTATAACTTTCATAGTCTTTTTTTGAGTGTGGGTGAGGACACAGGGGCCCCATGATTTCCTATTGCCGGGGGCCCCATAAGTTGTCAGTCCGCTCCTACATATGGGTGACCTCATAATACATGAAAGTGCAGAAAAAATAGTTGCATTTTCAACCCAATTTAAAAGACATGGCCGCCTCATATGGCTGGAAGACCGGCTGAACCCAAAAGCAATGGAAACCCCCCCCAGGAAGGGATCACAAGGACACACCCAGGTCACATGAAGTGTGTAAACATCCAGCTTTTTTCACACCTCCTCTTCATTACACCCCATAGATTAGGGGATATGATATGGGTCTTCTAAGACAGGTATTCCCACTTAGACCGTCTATCCATTTTAGTGGTTCAAAAGTTGGATATAATGCTCCCCAGTATACACGGGGCAACCCTCCAACGTTTCAAGACCGTATACACCAGCTCATAGAGGTGGGGATGTTCCATAGTTTATCAGTGTACTCTCATGTTTTTTCTTCCACTTTCAGGTGACAGCGACTCCACAGGCGTGATTGCTGGCTGTTGTTGGGGGGCTTTGTATGGACTATCTGGGGTACCGAAGGGAAACTACAGTGAGTTGGAGTACCGAGACCGACTGGAGAGTACAGCTAGATCGCTCCACAAGCTGGCCTGGCCTGGACACTAAGGGTGGAGGAACCGCTCATCTCTTTGCCCACTAATGACTATATCCTGATAGAGGCCCAGTGATGGCCTAGATCAATGTCACTCCAATTAAACACCAATTTACAGACTAATCTGTTATTAAATCATCAGCCCACCCAAATGGGACACTCCAGTCATAGGTAGAGTCTAGTGGGTTGGGGGCCACCTACTCGGTTCTTCTATCTTGTGGAAACTTCCCACTATAATTTTAATCTTCAGTTTCTGCTCATTATATAGTTTTGGGTGTTCTGAATCTTGTCTCCATGATATAAAATCCACCAAGGAGGACAAGACTCCTCGTAATGACCATGGATGACATGCAGCAGAACATTCTCACCTTCTTCTTAGCTCCCAGAATATGAATGCTCTGAGTTGATCTAATTGGAGCTTACACAGGGCTAAGTATGGTCCGTTCCCCCACGTGACAGTACTGGGCCAATCACAAGCATTCTCCCAAGAGTGGGTGGGGATTGAGTCCAGTGCTTCCTAGAAGTCCATGTATTCTCTTACCTCATGCCAGGCAGTAGCGTCCCTAGGAGGGTGCGGGCCACACCGGGTGACACCTATTGCACCATCATAGGGGGGTGACACCAAAATGAAAAAATATAATTTTGACAGAGCAGAAATTATATTTGGGCCAGACCCTCGCCACGCGCTTTGCAAGGCAATGGCACCAAATTCTGGATTGATTAGACAAAACCAATAATAAGCGGGATTAAGGAACAGGAAGGAACTGCGCATGTGATCGAATCTAACGTCCAGACAACAAATCGCAAAGAACTTAAATGCCCAAGTCATGTGATTACATCGTCAGAGGCTCTGAGCCAATCAGCTTCAGTGAAGAACTTCGACCTCGAACAAGCGCGTGACCAGAATTGAAATTCATAGGATATAAGCAATGAGTTTTTACTAAAAAAGGGCTTTTGCTGTTTGGATGCTTTTCGATTGGAGACTGGACAATTGTTGGAAATATTATGGTCTGGTTGACATTAGGATTCGGAGGAGGTCCATGGAGAAGTCTGGAGGGGTGACACCATAGTTTTACCGCACTGGGTGACACCGACCCTAGGGAAGCCACTGATGCCAGGTGAACAGAGTGGTGGGGGAAAGAATGATAGGCGGGTTTGTGCTGCTAGGAGGCATTACAGTGTTTCTCCAGACAAAAGCTAATAGTCTAATGAGCATAGTATATTACATCTAATGAACATTAATGGTTAGGTCACGTTTCACCTCCTTTCATATCCATTTGATATCCATCCTATATCCATCCTGTTGACCCAGCCGTGTTCCAGTTAAGCTTTAGACTTCTAATGAAGAACCAACAATGCAAAGAAAATTTCAGTGGTAGCCCAAAAGTGTTGTTGGCCCTTCACCAGAAGTCTCATGGAGCTGGCCGGACCAACTGGTAATGTCAAAGGGCTATAAACGGAGGTGAAACATGGCCATTGCTGTCATTAATGTTCATTAGATGTAATATACCATACCAGGGCTGCTCAACCTTTTGAAGAGCGAGAGCCACCTAAATAATTTGGTAACCGGTCGCGGGCCACAATCAAATGAAATGGTTCAGAATTTCACATTTTTTATTCTGAGGCTCCACGCACACTACCGTGTTTCCCCAAAAATAAAACATCCTCCAAAAATAAGACCTACTTACAGGTTTCCTTCTGGGTGAAATATAAGGCATCCCCCCGAAAATAAGGCCCCCCCCTAGGCTCAGTCTCGGAATGAAAATTAATTTACCGTAAACTGGTTGCTAGGGCGCGCCCCGACTGGCGTCTAGCAACCAGTGACGTTACGCGGAGTCCTGACGTCACTGCTGTGTGGAGGCGGAGCGGAGGTCGGAGTGAGCGGTGAGTGTGGGGGCGGGAGAGAGAGGAGGAGACTTTCGCGGATACGTGTAGAAGAACAGGAGGATCAGAGCGGAAGGGACGCGGCGAAGGTGGTGAGTGCTGGTCTGTCTCTGGTGACACTGCCTGATGCTCGCGGCCGCCCTCATGATGACTGAAGTTTCTCAGTCAGTGGCAGACCCTGCTCCAGTCCAGGTCCAGGCCCCAGCCAGCCCAGTGACAGTCCCCAGGCAGGCCCCAGGGGGGAAATGTCTGATAAAGGGGTGGGGGGGAAGTCGGTGAAGGTGTTCAGTGGCACAGGGGTGGGGGGAGGGGGATCACTTAAAATGACACAGGAGGATCAGAGGGAGCAAACAAAATGACACAGGAGGATCAAATGGGGTTACTAAAATGGTAATCCCCCCCCCCCCTCTGATTCTCCTGTGCCATTTTGATTCCCCCCTCTGATCCCCCCTGTGTCATTTTAAGCGATCCCCCTCCCCCCACCGTACCGTATACAGGTAATAAATGTGTACCGTATTCTTCTTCATGGAAAAATAAGACATCCCCTGAAAATAAGACCTAGCGCATCTTTGGGAGCAAAAATGAATATAAGACACTGTCTTATTTTCGGGGAAACACGGTATCATCATAGTCCAGATGAAAGAGAATGTTCCTAAAATACAGCTACCAAAACAAGGGTCCCTTGGAAAGAAGACTGAACATACCTCCCCTGGTGTCTGCAATCACTGAACACGGCTGTAGCTAAGTCCTCACGCACACGGGACGTTTTGATAACGCTGGTAACGTTAGCTGTGTAAAGTCAAGTTAAAAACCAGAGTTTTTTAGCGTTTTTGCATTAGCTTTTAGTAGCGAGTTTTTTTTTTTTTTTTTAACAAAAAAATTTTGTTTTTGGTCCAAAAAACATCCAAAAATGCTGGTTTGCGTTGTTTTACCACGATTTTCAATGTTAGAGCATTGTTACAGCTAAGAAAAATCCTTGAAAAACCCACTAATCCTGGGTTTTGTTTTCCAGCCAAAAAATCGTTGATTCCAGTCTGTGTGTGTATGGACACATAGGATGACATGCGGGGGGGTTACTGGCTGCAGAAAAAATTGGCAAAAGCCAAAAACAGCCGCTGTAAAAATGTCCTGTGTGCATGAGGACTGAATAGTATAACAAACATTTTTCTTTCTGCACTGAATGCCGTCTGGAGAGGAGGAGAATCCGACTTACAGCAGTTGCAGGAGGAAAATGGAGAGGATTGGTTCCTGTATATGCGGCCCCGCCTGTCCAAGTGTAAAACAGAATGTGACAAGGAGGCTGCATAGGCCCTCTGGAGCATGGGGCAGGGTCACCATTGCAACCCCTGATGCTACATCAATGGTTGGGGTGCGTGATAAAAACATGCCTCAACTCTGGGGTTTTATCAGCCCCCAGACTGCAAATGTAAATGAGCACCGAGAGTGCAACTGCGGCTTTTGTGCGAGTTCTCTGTGCTTTGCCTTAGCCTTATATTATATCTTGTGGGTGTGGTGCACTTTCTGAAAGCGCACCATAATTCTTGCATTCAGTTTGAGGTTGAGGGCCACATCATCGGGCTCTGAGGGCCACAGGCTGAGCACCCCTGTATTACACTTTTAGTTGTGCTGCTGTCCATTCATGTCTGTTTCTTTTGATGCACATGTGCACAAGCTCCGACAGTGAAGGCGAACCCCTACAGCTCATCATGCTTTTAGAAGCAGCGGAAGGAGTACTGTAGTAGCAATTTTGGAAAACCAGGAAAACTCCGGACACGGCATTCTGAGGAAACAAGTGATTTATTAAAAACAGCGCTGTTTTGACCCAGCCGGGCTCATGCCTGCAAAGCCGAGTGATTTGTATCTACTTCTTACAAGCGTATATCCCAATGATTACATCATAATGCATACATTTCTTCTTTCACTTTCTATACACTCAAAAGGCTTTCTAAACTCTACAGAATAACATTGGACAGCAGCTGCAGCTAAGGATACTAGCTACAAGCTGGTACATATCACTCACAGGAAATAAAGGGGGGGGGGGGAATGAGCTGAAAATCTTGCTTTTACAAACACAGGCTGCTAGAACTCTGCCATATGTGGGTGCTACCCAGGGGTAGCGGTCCCCCAATCCCCAAGGGGTCTGCCACCCGCTCCCCTGACAAATAGTGAAAGACACACACAAGGGGAGTGGTCCCCCAATCCCCAAGGGGCCTGCCACCCGCTCCCCTGACAAATAGTGAAAGACACACACAAGGGGAGCGGTCCCCCAATCCCCAAACTCATGGAACGGACACTATGAAGGCCTCTCCTAGTTGGTGGGACATGAAAGGTTTAGAAGTTTAGCACCCAGAAGCTTGAAATTAAAATAAAAACTGTTTTAGCCGACAAATATACAGAAACAGGGATGACAGTGGCATTATGGTCTCCCGTGCATTGGAACAGTTTCCAGAGACAACTTTCTGCTGAACCCAATCCTCACCTTTTATCTCCACACTATGGGGTGTTTCTATACAAAAACAAAATTTTCAGAAGGTATTCATCCAGAGAAACTGCTGCTACCAGGGGCGAACTGACAACTCATGGGGCCCCAGGGCAATAGGGGATCATGGGGCCCCTGTGTCCTTGCCCAAACTCGAAAAAGCCTACGAGAAAGGTACCAGGGGGCATCTCATGGGGCCCCCTACTGACCCTGGGCCCTCGGGCAATGCTAATAACAGCTTCTAGGAGCTTAAAAAAAATGCCAATGTGTGTGGAGCCTAAGTCAGATTTATAAAAGGAATGAATGAAGCTACAGCCAGGGGTGTAGTTGCCAAAAGTCAAACAAGGCATTTGCCTAGGTTGGCATTTTTCAGGGGGAGCAGTACTGCCCCTCGGAAGAAGGGATGGAAGAAGGGACACGTGTCATGGGGACTTGGTGGTTTCCGAGAGATGCTGTGGGTTTCATGACGGTGTATAAACAGCTCGACTCTCGATCCTGGGGATGTCCAGAGCTGTGAAGGTGAGTCTTTCTCTCTTGCAATGGGGGATGGTGGCTGGTGTGTATAGGGGGGCAGTGGTAGTGGACGGCTCTCTGGGTGGGCGGCAGGGGTGTTCTTGGTCAATGTCAGGCTCTCTCTGCCGATTTTTGTGTTGCCTAGGGCAGCACAAAACCTAAATACACCAATGCCTACAGCACCGCTCTAAGCCAAGAGCGGGAGAATAACCCCGCCGGTATCCAGACAGTGAGAGTTGGCATCCTAGCAACAATTCAGAGAGATGAAAGTGAAGTGGGGCGGTAAGGCTTGATCACAGAAGCTAACAAAACCGACAGAGCTGCTGGGTTTATCCGCATCATTGGCTCTGATCGGTGGTCATTAGCAAGTGAGTGTAAAAGGAAAAAAGAAGCATGCAAAATAAAGCAAACGCTGAAAGCAATGAAAAAGTAAATGAATTAAAAAAATAAAAAAGCAAAACCAGTAAAAAAAACAAAACTGCCAGTCTTGTTAGCCTCTGTGACCAAGCTCCGGTGGGTGGGACGAAACGCGTTAGAGGGCATGGCTGAAGCGGCAGCTGAGGCCAACACTATCAACCACACCAGGGGGTAGATGTAGCATCCCACTCCTTCAGATTTATAAAAGTTGGAAAGTGGGATGATTGGCCCATGGTGACCAGATTCTTTGATCCCTGTACTGTGCATTACATGTCACTGACCCCTGAACTCTAAGGTATTCCTGACCCCTGCACTGTGCATTATATATTCCTGACCCCAGAACTCTGTGTTATTCCTGACCCCTGCACTGTGCATTATATATTCCTGACCCCTGCACTGTGCATTATATATTCCTGACCCCAGAACTCTGTGTTATTCCTGACCCCTGCACTGTGCATTATATATTCCTGACCCCTGCACTGTGCATTATATATTCCTGACCCCAGAACTCTGTGTTATTCCTGACCCCTGCACTGTGCATTATATATTCCTGACCCCTGCACTGTGCATTATATATTCCTGACCCCAGAACTCTGTATTATTCCTGACCCCTGCACTGTGTTATTCCTGACTGTGACCTTCACTGTGCATTATATTATTATTATTACTATTACACAGGATTTATGGCGCCAACAGTTTGCTCAGCAATTTACAATATAACGGGAGACAATACAGCAACAATACAGTTCAATACAAGAGGGATAGGAGGGCCCTGATCCTGGGAGCTTACAATCTATATACTACTGACCCCTGAACTCTAAGACATTCCTGACCCCTGCACTGTGCATTATATACTCCTGACCCCCTGAACTATGTATTATTCCTGACCCCTGCCCTGTACATTACATACTACTGACCTCTGTTATTCCTGACCCCTGCACTGTTTATTATATACTCCTGACCCCTGGACTCTGTATTATTCCTGACCCCTGCACTGTGCATTATATACTCCCGACCCGAGCTTTGTATGATTCCTGCACTGTGCATTACATACTGCTGACCCCTGAACTGTTATTCCTGATCCCTGCACTGTGCATTATATACTACTGACCCTTGAACTCTAAGGTATTCCTGACCCCTGCACTGCTTCATATACTCCTGACCCCTGAACTCTGTGTTATTCTTGGCCCCTGCACTGTGCATTATATACTCCTGACCCCTGAACTCTGTGTTATTCCTGACCCCTGCACTGCTTCATATACTCCTGACCCCTGAACTCTGTGTTATTGTTGACCCCTGCACTGCTTCATATACTCCTGACCCCTGAACTCTGTGTTATTCTTGACCCCTGCACTGTGCATTATATACTCCTGACCCCTGAATTCTGTGTTATTCCTGACCCCTGCACTGCTTCATATACTCCTGACCCCTGAACTCTGTGTCATTCTTGACCCCTGCACTGTGCATTATATACTCCTGACCCCTGAATTCTGTGTTATTCCTGACCCCTGCACTGCTTCATATACTCCTGACCCCTGAACTCTGCTAATCCCTGCACTCTTCAGACTTTCAAAAGAAAAAATGACACACTGCACCCTGGTGATCTTTCATCCCTTTGATGTTTATTATGTAGATCTCCACCTCCCCTGATATAACCTTTCCCAGCCTGCAACCATTGTCTTCGTCCCATGATGCAATGCTTGGGCCTGAGCAGCCAATCACCTGTCCCCAACACTATTATGGGGGGGGGGGTCACTTTGCCCTGAATGAGGAATGTGACATATCCCTTTAAGATCATTGCTCCCATTCCTGGTGAATATAACGGAGCTGACACTTAAAACATGCAATCTGATTGGACAGACATTCAGACACTTGTGTAACGTGTATAACAAATCTTTATTTACTAATGTGTGCAACAACTTCTTTTGCAGCCATGAAATGGTTAATGCCATTCACTGACTTTGGAAGCCACCTCCCCCCTCCCAGCGCGATGCTCTGCAGCATTTTCCGGTGCTGGGAGGATGGCGGGTGAGATAGTCAGCAGCTCCCGGCCGCTCTCATGCAGGAGTGATGTTCTGCTGCTCGCGGTGGTCGGTAGGAGCGATGCTCTGCAGCAGACTTGTGCCCATCCTCCTCATTTTCGGCTCTGCATCTTCCCTGTGAGCGGCAGACCGGTGCGTCAGCCCACCCTGGCTCTCCGAGATCTCTGTGTCTGTACCGTGCCATCGGTCTGTGCGCCCTGGTGCCGTCCGGAGAGGTAAATCTGTGGGGGGAGGGGGCAGAAAATGATCTCAAATGATCCTCCTGAGCAAAAGACTAGCTAAAGTTTAATCTGCTTACATTTGGTCTTTTCCTGGTCCCCCCCCCCCCCTCCTTTTCCATTTTCAATACATCGGTCATCACTGGGTCTTTGTACTTCTCTATGCAATTCAGGCAGGTCACGGCTGGTGGGAGGGGCCAGCTAGGTTACTGTACATAGCTTCCTGAAAACATCATACTGTCCTGCCCCAGTACTCTTCTCTAACATAGGTAGTGGACTGGCTCTTGGGAGGAGCTATGCTAATATCGAAACACTTAGATGGGTGGGTGGGTGTGTTTGAAGAAGCAGGTGGTCCTAGGCAGGTGACATTTACATAGGTAACACCCACATGTGATGCTGAGCCTCCATGATTGGTGGGACTGAAATCCAAATAATAAAAGGGGCAGGGCCAGGGACAGTCAGATGATGCTGGACGTCCTCCAGCTAGGAAATGGGGCGGAGCTCTGTCTGACTTGCTACAGTTTCTAATGCACATGAAGCAGGTGGTCTTAGGCAGGTAACACCCACATGTGATGCTGAGCCTCCATGATTGGTGGGACTGAAATCCAAATAATAAAAGGGGTGGGGCAGGGACAGTCAGATGATGCTGGACGTCCTCCAGCTAGGAAAAGAGGCAAAGCTCTGCTGCAGCTTCTAATGCACATTGTGAGGAGCTCACAGTGTGCGGTGAAATCAGAGGAAGCCGTGTCAGTCCAGGAGAGGAGCCGGATAATCATTGCGTGTTTAGGAATTCTAATTCCACATACATCGGAGGACACGCCTCCCCACCATGTTGCCCCTCCCCCCGGCACTCACCTGAGTCTCACTCTTTGCCTCCTTTGCCCTTTTTCTTGGCCTCGGTGCGCTGCAGCTTGTCGGCGATCTTCCTCTCGTGGCCGCAGGGACTGTCCCGGTTGGTGTTCTCTCTGGCCTCTTTTTTCGTGCGGCCTTTCCTGGCGGCGGTGGGCACTGCAGGGAATCAATGAACAGGCGTTCGATCAGGAAAACAAATAATTACCATGTATAGGAAACGCTACAATGGAGGACACACGTGTGATACATTGTAACTTCCCCGACCTTACAAAGGAATCACCTACTTCTGCATTCTCTTGGCTGTCATTTTTGTTTTTAATGGGTTTTTTTTTTTATCTTTTTTGAAGGGGAATTTCATTCAGCCCGGGTTCACATATATGTGGCGTGGAATATCACATGTGATACGTGCAGGAACCGCACCGCATTCCCGTACAGATTACATGCCATTTGTGTGCGGTGAGATCGGAGCCGTACATTATGTATGGCTCTAATTGCACCAAAATCATGCAGCACCTTTTTTTGGGTCCGCAGTAGAATCAGATCGCACGGGTATTCACACCTATGTGATCCGATCTGCACATCGCACCGCGTTTTGTGGACCTCTTTCAGGGTGCTGTTAACTTACACACCTGCATCGGTTCGCATGAACGGGTGCGATTCCGATGCGGTGCGGAATTCGCGGCAAATACCTCACTGCATCAGTGTGAACCAGGGCTAAGGTTCTCAAGAATCTCGCCACCATGCAATTCCATTCTTTTTTTTTGGGGGGGGGGGGGGTTTGGTATTTTTAGGCAATGGAACTACATCAGTACTTAGGCACTCTTAGACTGTCCAGTGCTAGTGGAACTAGAAGTCCCAGGCATGGCCCGGCACAGCAAATCCATCATAATAATAATGCTACAATGTATCTGTGTCTAATTTTGAACTCTGAACAAGTCTGAACTTGGAAGGAACGGGACTTTTTCACAAGGAGGGTGAACATTTGGATGTGATTTTGTCTTTTTATCTACATAGAGGAGAACCCCCTGAGCTCCACCCTCATTTACTGATTCACTAATTCTATTTCTGGTCCAAAATATTTTCCATTTATTTATTACTTATTTTATATATATAAATATATATATTTATATATTATTTATTATTTTTACAATTACTTTCACTGCTATTTACAAATTTTCATGCTCCCCCTTCTCCACTTTTTTTTTTTGTTTTCTTCATTTTCTAAACATTTTTCCCCCCAATTTAAAATCCATTTCTGGTCCAAATTATTCTCCGTTTTATTGATTTGACACTTAACAGCTGTTTACAATTTTTAAACCCTCCAAAAATTCAAAGTCTGATTATATTTTAACATGTTTTTTTCAGTTGAAACAAATTCCCTTATTTATTTCTGGTATGAATTTATTCACCATTTAGAAAATTCACACTTTACTGCTATTTACAATTTTCATACCCCCCCCCCCCCCCCCCGGAAAAAAGAAGAGAAATAAATATTTTATATATTCATGTGTATATATATATATATATATATATATATATATATATGTGTGTGTTTATTTTTTCTCTAAACATTTTTTCCCCCCAATGTAAATTAATTTCATTTCCAGTCCAAGTCTCCATTTAATTAAATTAACACTTGACCGCTACTTACAATTTTTTATGCCCCCCCTAAAAAAAAATAAATAAAAATTATATATATATATATATATATATATATATATATATATAATTTTTCAAACTTTCTTTTACCGGTTTAAACTAATTCACAGATGTAAAACAAACATTGGAGTGTACCCGGGTTACAGGTCACTCCTAACTTTGGATACGCTAGTTCCACGTCCTAGTTAACCAGACAAAAAAGGGGGAATATTGCCTATTATCCCCCTTTTTTGTCTAATTCACAAATGTTATTTCAAGTCCAAATTATTCTTCATGTAGAAAAATTACACTTTACTGCAATTTACAATTTTCCCCCCAAAAAATAAATAAAATCTATTTATAATTTTGTAAATATTTTTCCCCAATTTAAATTATATCCCTTTCTGGTCCAAATTGTTGTTCATTTTATTAAATTAATACTTAACTGCTATTTACAAAGTTTACCTTCCCCCCCCAAAAAAAATAAATATGATTATTTTTCAACATTTTATTCCAGCTGAAACTAGCTCACGTATTTTATTTCTGGTCCAAATTATTCTTCATTTCATTCACTTTACTGCTATTTACAATGTTTATGTCCCCTCCCCCCTCCCCCAAGAAAAAAAATCTAAAATGTTTATTTTAAGCTTACTTGCTAATTTTTTCTTTCTTTTTTCTTTAGTCCGAACCACTTATATTTTCATGCAATTTGCAAGTAACAAGTACAAAGTAAACTCATTCATTCCATTTCGGCCCAAAGGACTCTTGTTTTTATGTCATTTACTGTGATTTCAAAATTTTCATGACACCCCCCCCCCCCCCCCCAACAAAGTTTAAATTGGAAATAAAGTGAGAAAAAAAATCTAAATGATATATATATATATATATATATATATATATATTTATTTATTATATACACACATACACTGTATATAGACTTTTTAAATTTTCCCCCCCCAATTTCAACTAATTCAGCGATTAATTTATTTTTTGTTTCAATTGATTACCCCACCTCCCCCATTCCCTTGCCGTTTTCCATTTTAATGCCCGCCCCCCAAAAAAAAGAAAACAATTTTTTTCCAAAGAAATATTTGTTACTTACAGGCGTAGCGATCGGTCAGGTTGTAGTAGTCGTAGTTGTCGAAGTAGCGCACCTCGAAGTCGGTGGGCTGAAGTTTCTCAGCTTCTACGTAGGAGCTGCTCATGTTGGCAATATGTGGGGGTCTCCTGTGTCTTGGGGGTCGCTGGAATCGCAGTGGCTGGGTCTGCTGGAATCGCAGTGGCTGGGTCTGCTGGAATCGCAGTGGCTGGGTCTGCTGGAATCGCAGTGGCTGGGTCTGCTGGAATCGCAGTGGCTGGGTATGTCTGTGTTCTTCTCTGTGCTGAGTTGTTATGATGTGAAGTCTTTGTTGGGATTCTTTATAGTCAGTGTGGCTCCCCCTTGGCTCCTCCTCCCAGCGTGCCGCTCCACCTTCACATTGCATCAGACTATATTGTTTGTGTACATTAGATTACACCATCCCTCCATCACCCCACCCGCCACTCTGCAGAACATTGCTCTCCTTTATTGCTGCTGTGCAGGACATCCTTGCAGAGCATTGCATTTCTTTTTTTGATGAAAATCGCAGGAAGACCAGCAGAGCATTGCACCTTTACCAGTGACCAATACTACCTGGAGCTCTGCAGAACATTGCACCTTTACCAGTGACCAATACTACCTGGAGCTCTGCAGAACATTGCACCTTTACCAGTGACCAATACTACCTGGAGCTCTGCAGAACATTGCACCTTCATGTGTGTCTTGTATTATGATGAGTGCTCTAATGCATTACACCTGGAAGTCCAGCAGAGCATTGCATCCTTGTATGTGACCTATAGTATTGTGAGCTCTGCAGAACATTGCACCTTCATGTGTGTCTTATGATGAGCGCTCTAATGCATTACACCTGGAAGTCCAGCAGAGCATTGCATCCTTGTATGTGACCTATAGTATTGTGAGCTCTGCAGAACATTGCACCTTCATGTGTGTCTTATGATGAGCGCTCTAATGCATTACACCTGGAAGTCCAGCAGAGCATTGCATCCTTGTATGTGACCTATAGTATTGTGAGCTCTGCAGAACATTGCACCTTCATGTGTGTCTTATGATGAGCGCTCTAATGCATTACACCTGGAAGTCCAGCAGAGCATTGCATCCTTGTATGTGACCTATAGTATTGTGAGCTCTGCAGAACATTGCACCTTCATGTGTGTCTTATGATGAGCGCTCTAATGCATTACACCTGGAAGTCCAGCAGAGCATTGCATTCTTGTATGTGACCTATAGTATTGTGAGCTCTGCAGAACATTGCACCTTCATGTGTGTCTTGTATTATGATGAGTGCTCTAATGCATTACACCTGGAAGTCCAGCAGAGCATTGCATCCTTGTATGTGACCTATAGTATTGTGAGCTCTGCAGAACATTGCACCTTCCTGTGTGTCTTATGATGAGCGTTGTAATGCATTACACCTGGAAGTTCAGCAGAGCATTGCATCCTTGTATGTGACCTATAGTATTGTGAGCTCTGCAGAACATTGCACCTTCATGTGTGTCTTGTATTATGATGAGTGCTCTAATGCATTACACCTGGAAGTCCAGCAGAGCATTGCATCCTTGTATGTGACCTATAGTATTGTGAGCTCTGCAGAGCATTGCACCTTTATTTGTGACCAGTGTCACTGGGAGTCCAATGCAACACTGCACTCTTATACTTGATCCATATGTTACTGTGAGCTCTGCAGAGCATTGCACCTTTATTTGTGACTAGTGTCACTGGGAGTCCAACAGAACATTGCACCCTTATATTTGATCCATATGCTATTGTAAGCTCTGCAGAGCATTGCACCTTTATTTGTGACCAGTGTCACTGGGAGTCTGACGCAACACTGCGCACTGCACTCTGCACATGATTTATATATTATTGTGAGCTCTGCAGAGCATTGCACATATTTTAAAATGAATGCTACAGAGAGCATTGCACCTTTATCTTTGATCAGCTATACTGGGAGTCCAACAGAATGTTGCACATTTATAATCTATATGGTATTGCAAACTCTGCAGAGCATTGCACATTGTTATGATTGATACTGCAGGGCAACAGCAGAGCATTGCACCCTTGCACGTGATGTATATCATAGTGAGCACTGCAGAGCATTGGATTTTATCTCTGAAACGTTATACTGGGAGTCCAACAGAACATTACACCTTTGCGATATATATGGTATTGCAAGCTCTGCAGAACATCTCACTTTTTTTTATAATTGATACTAGAGGGATTCAGCAGAGCATTGCACCTTTGCATGTCACTATATCAGTGAGCTTTGCAGAGCATTGCACCCTTGCATGTGACCAAATCATAGGGAACTTTGCAGAGTATTGCACCCTTGCATGTAACTATATTGCAGCGAGTTTTGCAGAACATTGCACCCTTCCATGTGACTATACCATTGGGAGCTTTGCAGAGTATTGCACCCTTGCATGTGA